AGGGAAAGACAGACCTACATATATAACTATATTACAAAGCAGAATGTTTCAAACGCTTTTGGAATTTATATACAAAATCCTCTGGGAATACTTAAAAACAATAATTCTCTTATGAAGTGAGGATGTCTTTAGGAGGAAATGATATTTGATCTGTTTCTTGAAATTGAATGGAGTTTCAACAGAGAGGTGAGGGCAGGTAGTTCTGTCCTTACAAGAGAGTGGGGTCTGGAATGACCAGCTATAGCAGGGAGACCAGGATAATCATACTTGAAAGGGGGGTTTGCTGCTGTCGTCTTCCATAGGGTATTTGGGATTTCAGTAAAGACAGAAATGTCAACACTGACTTGCACTTGTGCTCAAAAAGAGATGTAAGGTGTAGTGGCTTGTGGTCTCTACCCCTTCCCACATCCACCACCCAGAGCAGGGCTAGGGCTGATGCCGAGTTGGCCCACGCAAGACATGGACATGTAGATAGGTGAATAAAGAAAGCCATGTCGCCTCCCTCACAAACCTCTACTGAAAGTGCTTTCATTAAGCTCACTAATGATATCCTTGACACTCAATACTCCCTCCCCACAAAAAACTAAACTTATATCTTCCCTAGGCAGTGTTTGACATTTTTGTCTCATTGAATAAGCTTCTCTGACATTCCTAGGACCACCATTGTCTTCTTTCAATGATACCTGAAAGTTTGGCATCCCCGCAGGTCCTCTCAGGTACTATATCTCCCTGAGCAATCTACATCCACGGTTTTAGCTAAACCTATATGCTAGTGGATTTCATATTTACATCTCAGGCCCCGATTCCTTTTTTGAGTTGCAGACTTACATATCCACTCCCCATTGACCATCATCCATCCTGCTTAATCGTATACCACCAGCAATAAAGCAGTCACTAAATCCTGATTTTCATTCCTCTTACCTGTTTTTTAAGCCAACCCACCTTACTCTGTCCATATAACAAAGAATTTATTAAAGCCAACATGTTTGTTTCCAAGAATTTCAGCAACAGCTACTAAATGCTCCCACTTCTTCTCATCTTTTCTTTTTAATCCTTCACACTGCAGCCAGAATGATTCTTCTCAATATAAATGTGATTCTATCACACTCCTTTTAAAAAGTGGACTTCCAGTTCCTTCTCGTATAAGGTCCAAACCTGTGTTGGTTTACAAGTCCTTTCATTATCTGGTGTTTTCTTACCCTACCAGCACTGCTAGAGTCAACATTCTCCCCTTTATATTCTGAGCAATCACTGTGCTGAACATATTTAACTTTTATATTATGTGTGGCCATTTTCTCTTGCCAGGATTCAGCCCACTCACCTATCCCCCCACCAAGTTAAATAGTGCCTACTTCTATAACCAACTTTCCTGCCCAACATATGCCCACCACTGCCACCAGGAGCATGAGGTAAGGTGCTCTACTATGTACGCTTTAGAATCTTACACTTCCTCTAGCACAGCATGGTATACACTTCCATTTCCTTTATTTATTGTTTTATTTTTATTTTTTCCTGCACTAGGACTGTGATCTCTATGAATATTAAGGGATGTTTTAGCCACATTCATTATGTTTCTTTGGTACACAGCATAGAATCTGGTATACAGCAAGTGTCTAATTATTATTTATAAATAGAGAAATAACATGGAAATATGCCAATCAAGTTCTGAAACAACTGGTGTTCAACTAATTCTGAGATACGATTGGAAAAGTCAAGGCTGGAAAAAAGGATTGACTCAGATGATGACAAATGTTAAGCCTCAAAAGGTTTTTCTTCTAAATTATATTTCAAACTTATTTTGTTAGCAAGAAGAAAACAAAGCATACCTGTAAGCAGGAAAATGATGTGGACAGATCTCGGCTTTTAGAAAGCGCTGGGGTGACAATGTACAGAATGGATTGGAAGGGATACCAGTGAGGCATCTATTAAAAAGCTGAAACGACAGACTGTGAACGAATGTCATGGCAACAAGAACGTAAGGGAGAAAAATTATTTGGGAGGCATTTAGGGATAGAACTGACGGCTCTAGGGGATCATCTGGATGGTGGAGGGCAAGGGGAAAAGGCTGTTCTAAAGATAAACGTAAGGCTCCAAAACATAGTTGATAGAAAGGACACAGGAGAGCAAGATCATTCCAAGAAAGAACAAGATGAAAATTGATTAGGTCCTTTTTATACTTGTTGAATTTGAGAGATACTGGAGAGGTAATTAGAAACATAGGATTGAAATGCAGAAGACAAAGAACAAGGAAATGTAAACAACATGCATTTGGGTTTTATCTGTAGAGAAGTGAAGGTTGTAGTTACATCATATGAAAAGAACAAGAAAAGGAGAGGGACAGTTACTTGGGGGGAGTTCCTACACATGGGACAAGCAGGAGAGAAACAGGTGAAAAAGCAAGAGAAGGAATAATGGTAGATACAGGAGGAGGCACTGTCATTTAACCACACTAAAGCGAATTTCAGAGATACGCATTGATCTTGATTATTTCAAGGGGATGGGATAACATAAGGATAAAACTGCAATCTTTGGTTTTAAAATCAGCAGATAATTGGTGACTTTGAGACCCCAGTTTCAATTATGTTTACCATTTGAAATGGCTACAATGGGCTGAGAATAAGTAAAAGGTGAGAGAACTGAAGCAGCAAGTATAGCCTACCCTTCCCATATTTGTGGTGACAAAGGAAAGAAAAGAGATGCAAGTAAGACCAAGGGAAGACTTTTAAAAACATTTGAAAGAGGAGATAGATCACACTTGGAGGCTAAAGGGAAACACCCAGTGGAGCCGGCAATCATGTTGATGCATAAAGTAAGGGATAATTTCAGAGGCCAGATCACAATGAAAAGAGGGATGGACCTGAATCCCAGGTAGAAGTAATGAGTCTTCCATGGGGAAGAGAGCAAAATAATTAAATCTGTAGGTAAATGTTGTAGGACTCGAAGTAAAAGTGGGAGGCAGAAAAAGCTTCCTGAGACTAAGGATGAGTAGAACGTTGACACAGATGAGAATGGAGCATTCCAGGGAGAGTGATTAATGCCAGGCAAAACATAGGTGCAGGAAGCATCACATGGAACATGATAATTAGAAGTGGTTTAGTGTGGTTGCTGGTTATGTGCAAGATAGATGGTGCAAGAGATAACACAGGAAAGGAAGGTGGGGATCAAATTATAATGGAGATATTGAGAAACATGTACTTCAGTCTCTTGTAGGTCAAAGGGAATTGTTGAAGAGGTTTAGGCAAGGGGGTGATGTGGGAAGTTATATGCTGAGGATAGATGACTCTGGCAGCCATGGGGAGAAGGGATTGTATAGGTCCAGGGGAGACACATACCCAACTTCAAATCTGCATAGTAGTCTAACATGAAGTAGTACAGGATGGAGAGGACACAGCAGAGTCGATACGTATTTGAAGAAAAAACATTCTACAATACTTTGGGTTTTCAGAAAAATGAGGAATCAAAGAAAATAAGTTTTTATTTTGCATGGTTGATCAGAATTTGATTTCACATACTAAAGGAATAAGGGAATAAAGCAGATCTTAGAAAGGAAAGTGAGTTCAGTTTTGAGAATGTTGGATTGAAGGGTTTTGTCTGACTTTTGGGTGGGGGTGGGATTGAATGAGATCAGCTATTGGTTGGAGTAATTCAGACTGGGAATCAAATGGGATCTGATGGATCTTTAACCTCTCTCTTGTTATGCTCTCTGTGACTAATCACAACAGGGATGTAGGAATTGAATTGGTGAACTTGAACCCAGAGGCTTCAGGAACTCCACAGAAACAGAGGGTTAGGCAGTGCCTTGGGAAGGTAGCTAGTAGAAAAGAAGGTCTCAATTTCATAATATGCTGCCAAAGTAGCCTAATACTAAAATCTACCTGTCATGATATGATCCAGGCAAAGCAGGATGTTCTGTCCCTTGCATTTCCACATGGCCTCCTTATGCTACTTTGTGACTGTCATATTAATCTGGTTGCAACTGCACACACATTTTGGGAATGGATGACTACTGTCATGAATTGGCTTTTATGCCGTATTTCTCTCCCCACACCACCCCCCTGCCTTGACCCCTGCAGATTGAATTTCTTCCAAGTCAATGAGAACCCTACAGTGGATCTTCAGACAGAGGATATGATTTACTTGGAGCATAGGTATTGCACAGGAAAGTAAGCTCTTTTCCATTTTAAACACAGGTATTATTTTGCTCTAGAAAAACTCAAGGCAATTTATTATGTGGTTTTTTTTTTTTTTCTTCTAAGCACCCATCTCTCTATACCTCAAGTAGCATTTCCAGTGGGAATTTCAGAGATCCTAACTTGCAGCCAAAGAGTGGTTTTTCATTAGAAGGATAGGAATCCTTGAAAGGTTATGGGTTGTGGAGGACTAAAGAACAAGAAAGGATCACATGGCTGAAGTAAGACTTTCCCAGGAAAATGTTCCAGGTCACTAAACAGAATGGAATTCACTCCTGGTTTAAACTCTTTGCCTCCAGGTTTTATTATCTTTGTAATTAAAATAATAATAAAAAAGGAATTCTCAATGAAGATATTGTCAGAATTTGTTAGCAAGTTGATGAAGCCAAGTTCATCTATGCTTCTACCTGCTTTAATGTAAAATTTAACTTATGTATTCAAAGAATATCGTTATTTTATATTAAGTATGAAATTTTACAAACTTAAAGCACAATAACTGTAATTCTGGCAAGGGCTAAACTTGATCATTGCCAAATACTTTCCACTCTAACCTCATTTCTTTTTGGTTGAAATTAGTACAAATGCTTTCCCTCTAAGGGGCAGGGGTTTCTCTGCTCAGAGGTGAGGGGACTTTCTAAAAAGATAATTTGAAGTCTAAGCCACTTTTCAGTCATAAGCACAAAAAACAATAACCCTATTTAACCTTGAGACCATTGAAATTCTTGAACTTTAAACACAAAGATTCATGGAATGAGAATTAATTTATTTTTCAGGTAAAATTTTTAAAGTTTTAAGAATGGCTTAAAATTATATTGGAATATTAGACATAGTCATGATAATTGAGTAATTTTAAACAGTTAATAGTGATTGACATATACACATATTTAGAAAAACTCTGTGTGAAACAGATATTTTAGTAGATCAAAATTTTGATACAGTTAAGAATAAAAATACTAAATTGGACTAGTACCCTTCATTAAATTATTTTATACATGTACAAAGCTTTATAAGACAAATCACTTTACAAACCTTATCCTGAAATCGGAAGTCTCCTACTGCACTTCTAGTCTGCATATTGCTCCCCAGAAATAACTACTGACAATTCCTTTAACAGTTTACTATTTCATCCACCTCCTTATTTCTAAATAATAAGCTTTTCCTGTTAGCTCTTGATTTATACTTCTTAGACATCATCTAATAGCTTTCTATCGGAAAACAAGAAGCATTCTTACATCCCCATGCCCTGCATCCTTTTCTTTACATCCTCCAATGCAATTATATCATACTTTTATTTTGATGGTTTTAAGCATGATTGACTTTGTTTTTCCTGCAGCTAACAACTGCATCTTTTTTATTAGCTTTTATGATTTTCTGTCATTACTATTAATGCTTTCCAAGCTCTCCATGTGCATTAAAAGACTCTCGAATACTCTTTGTCACATGGTCAAGCACTTCAGGGAGCCAGCAATGCAACTGTTTTACTTTTTTTCCTTTCAGCTTCTTCCTTGAGTCCTCTGTTCCTGTCCAATCTGGAAGTTGTGCTCTATGCCTGCTTCTCAGTTGCTGTCCTGTGACTTCGTTTATTCTGGATCTTCATATGTTTGGTGTCTTCCCCTTTCATGCTTTTCTTCCCTGTTTTGGTAGCATACATCCTCTGCTCAGTGGGGTCCACACACGCCTTCTGATCCAAAGATTTTCATCCATAGTTTATGATAAGAACAAAACTCACTAGTAAGCATTTGAAAGCTTTTATAATAATTTGAAATTGCTACTCCATTCACACCTTTACTCCAGCTGTAGACCTGTTCAGATATCCTTGAACAAAATGGCAAGGCACCTAAGAGACAGGTGCAGTAAGACCACGTCACATGGGGTGGTATTTTAAGTTAGCCAATGTTAATCGAGAAGTGTATACAAATCTGAAAAAAAAAGGTATTAATGTTAAGTTGTTACTTTACAATAATTTTAATTTAAGTAAGCCTTTTCTAAATATACAGCTTATCTTTTGTTTTTGCGGTACGCGGGCCTCTCACTGTTGTGGCCTCTCCCGTTGCGGAGCACAGGCTCCGGACACGCATGCTCAGCAGCCATGGCTCACGGGCCCCGCCGCTCCGAGGCATGTGGGATCTTCCCGGACCGGGGCACGAACCTGTGTCCCCTGCATCGGCAGGCAGACTCTCAACCACTGAGCCACCAGGGAAGCCCTACAGCTTATCTTTTTTTTTTTTTTTTTAACATCTTTATTGGAGTATAATTGCTTTACAATGGTGTGTTAGTTTCTGCTTTACAACAAAATGAATCAGTTATATATATACATATGTTCCCATATCTCTTCCCTCTTGCGTCTTCCTCCCTCCCACCCTCTGTATCCCACCCCTCCAAGCTTATCTTTTAAATAAGGGTGGAAAACTTTGTATTATTTCAGTGGTAAAATACTGAAGGTGAAATAAGCTTCGTTAGATTTCTTGTTGAGAAGAGCCATGACTTTTCTGAACATGACAGCAGAAGTTATCTAAGAGAAGAGAGGGAAGGAATTCCAAAGAAATGAAGACCAGAAGAGTTCATGCTAGCTTGCTCACAAGTATGTGTTGAGTTTGTTCTTTTTAAGTAATAACTGATGGTGTGTGCAAAATCACACTGTGCTAGGTGCACAGATGTACCGGCTAATGAAGTAATAAAGTTCTCAATGATTAAGCATCGTTTCCATAAAAGGTATAAAGAAATATACTTAAAATTAAATGTTGTGTGAGGAAGGTAGAGGACCACTTGACAATTGCACCACAGGGCAACATATTCAGGAACCGGGACATCCATAGCATAAAAGCTCAACACAGAACAAATCAAGTTAGCAAGCAGTTTTTACTGCAAGTTGACACGTTGATATAATGCTAAGGCAGGAATTATTTTAGAGTATGTGAAATTTAGCTATGCTTGTGCTATAAGGGAAGGTTTTTATTGCAAAAAAAGAAAAATGCAACTAAGTCTGGACTCTAGAATACAAACTATAAAATATCTCATTGTGTATTAATGTGTCTATCAGTGACCCAGCATTCTTCATCAAGAAATTCTTACTGTCAGGGCTTCCCTGGTGGCACAGTGGTTAAGAATACGCCTGCCAATGCAGGGAACACGGGTTTGAGCCCTGGTCTGGGAAGATCCCACATGCTGCGGAGCAACTAAGCCCATGCGCCACAACTACTGAGCCTGTGCTCTAGAGCCCGCCAGCCACAACTACTGAACCCGTGTGCCACAACTACTGAAGCCTGCACACCGAGAGCCTGTGCTCCGCAACAAGAGGAGCCACTGCAATGAGAAGCCCATGCGCTGCTAAGAAGAGTAGCCCCTACTCGCTGCAACTAGAGAAAGCCCGCACACAGCAATGAAGACCCGACACAGCCAAAAATTAATTAATTTAAAAAAAAAAAGAAATTCTTACTGTCAAACAAATGTCAGCTAGATTATATGGTATGAATTATGTAAAGACTAATGCACAATATTAAATTTTAGCCTCTTGAGCTAATTATAGAGATAATAATGAGACTGATTATAAGCAGTTTCTTTGCATGGCGAAATACAGTGGTTTCAAGGGAAAAACTTCTGTTTAGACTAATTGAACACTTGGTTTTATTGCAAAATAAGAAAATAGGTGAGGCTCCAAAATTTGAAGATATAAACTGGACAGTCAGACTTGCTTATTTATTTGATCTCATTAGTATTTTTAATTACCTTAATACTCTGATGTGAGGGAGGAATGTAACATGCTTTATAATGGCAGATCAGCTTAGAGAATTTTTGTAGGTTGTTAAAATATATTTTATATATTTGGAAAAAGTTATCACTGAATACCTTTGTTCATAAATTTGATAAAACATTTTTACCATATATATATATATATATATATATATATATATTCAAATAATAGTCTATTCAAGGAGGCAGAATCCTTTCTTTCACTGAAAGATAATTTAAACTTACTTAAAACGTTACAGGACAGATTGTTGGAACTAGCAACTGGTAAAAAATTTAAGATGAATGTTGAAAATATAGCATAATGTGCTTCATTTTAAATAAATGATGCAACTGAATATCCTTAGCATGCCAGAATTGCTTTGAAATCTCTTCTTCCTTTCTCTCACACATTTTGGGAGACTAGTTTTACTCCAACAAATGCAACTAAAGCAAAAGATAGAAATATTTTAGCTATAAATTATACCCGGTGATACTGTTGTCATGAATCCAACCTACAATGGATAAATTAACAAGCACAAAGTAAGCATATGTGTGATATTAAAAATGTTAAAAATTGATAAAAACTTGGTTTGTTAAACTATGTATATATGTGTGTCTAAAAGAGGGAATCACTATCTCACTAATAACATTTTTTAAGGCACAAATGTGGAATAACTAAAATTTTCTAGTGTAATAAAAACAATCAATTTAATGTCATTTTTAATGATAAACATGTACAGATTTTATATTTCTTTTTTTCCCTTATGTTAGATTGGCTCAGATCACATTTATTGAAATGCAATTTAATGTTTGCTGGATCAAATAGAATTTGGACTTTTTAATTGTTTCTAGTAATACATCTTTAATTGTACTGCACAAAGGAATGTTGTATGTGAAGCACTGCTGTAATAATTTTGGAGGAAAGGATGAAGGGTGATAGCTATATTGGTAGGATAGAGGAATGGCAGGGGAGAAGTCCATGGGATTGAATGAATTTTTGGAGACGTTGCTTGCCTGAAAATAGCTCTGTTCTACCTTCATACCTTCTTGATAGTTTGTCTAGGTATAGAATTCAAGGAGGAAATGATTCTTCTTCAGGATTTTTAAGTGATTGCTTTATTTATTCATTCAGTCTTCTTACTTCCAGTGCTGGTCTTAAGGAATCTAAAGACCCTGATTCTGAGCTTATATATGCCCCTGATTCATTTGTTCTTTCTTCCTCCCTCCCTCCCTCCTTCCATTCCTCTCTCTCTTTCTTTCCTTCCTCCTTTCCTTCCTTCCTTTTTTCCATCCTTCCTTCTTTCCTTCCTTCCTTTCTCTTTCTTTCTTTCTTTCTTTTCTTTCTTTCTTTCTTTTCTTTCTTTCTTTTTCTCTCTCTTTCTCTCTCTCTCTCCCTCGCTCCCTCTCTCTCTCTCTCTCTCTCTCTCTCTCTCTCTCTCTCACTCTCTCTTTCTTTCCTTCTTTCTAAATTTTTAGAATCTTCCCTGTCACTGGCATTCTGAAATTTCACAATGTTATGAATTGGTGTGGTGGTGTGGGCTCCATTTCACTCACTGTGCAAGTCAGTTGGTGAATCTTTTCAATCTGGCAATACATGTTCTTTATGGTTTTTATTTCCCTGTTTGGATCTTTTACATTGTGAACTCTCACCATATACATGATGTTCTTCAGCTATTCGATTATTTAAGAGTTAGAGACTTTAAAAAAGATGATTAGGTAGTTTTTAAAAACTCTCAGCACACTAGCAACACAGTGGAACTTCCTAAATCTGATAAAGGATATCTATTAGAAACCTAAGAAAATACGATACTCATTAATCAAATATTGGAAACATCCCCCTTGATACTGAGATTGAAGCAAGGACACCCATTGTCACTACTTCTATTCAAAATGAACTACCTGTTCTAGGCAGTGCAGAAAGGCAAGAATTAGAAACAAAAGTAATAAGAATTAGAAAAGAAGAAATTAAAACTATGATTATTAATATAGGACATAAACGTGTACATAAAAAATCCAAATAATCTCCAAACCAATTGCTAGAATTAAGAAGTAAATTTACCAAGGTATTGGATGCAAGGTCAATATAAAAAACAAACAATCAAACAAACAAAACTCCTCAATCTATATCTATATACCAGCAGCAAAAAAAAAAAAGTGAAATTTAAAATAAAAATCATATTTACCAAAGCATTTTAAAAAATAGCACATAGGAAGAAATCTAAGGAAAAATATGTAAAATTTCACTGGAAACTATAAAACATTATTGTGAGTAATTAAAGAAGACATATAAATGGAGTGAAATCCCATATTTGGGGGCTGGTAAACTGAATACTGTGAAGATATTCTAAGGCACTCTGAAAAAAGAACAAATCTAGTAGACTAACAATACTAGGTGTCAAGGATTATTTTAAAGGTATAGTAATTAAAGCAATGTGGCATCAATACAGGTATTGACAAATTAATGGAACAAAACAGAATCCCAAGACAGACTTGTAGACATATGTCACCTGACTTATTACAAAGGCAGCACTGCAGAACAGTGGGATGGGGGGTTAGCACTGATTAAAAATGGTGATGGGTTAATTGAATATTCCTATTGAGAAAAAAATAAATAAATCTTTGCCCTGTACCTCATACCATAAACAAAAATGGAATTATAAACTTTCGGTGAAAACACAATAGGAGCATAAATTGGAAGTCCTAAAATTAACTTAATTTTACATATAGTTGACAGCATGAAAAGCACTTTTGCCTATAATTATTTTATTTGTTTTAATGAAAACCCTGTAAAGCATATATGGTAGATATTATTATCTACATTCCACCAATGAGAAAAACTAAATTTTAAAGAAATTCAGTTGTTTGCTGACAATTACACGGTCATTAAACGAATAAAGAAGGGTGTCATCCAGTCCAATGCCAATAAGATAAGAGAAAATAGAAAGTCAGCAAGTTCAAGTAATTTACCTAAGTTTATACCCTGTGTTTCAATTTCCTCCTTTGCAATAGGTTAGCAAGGTATTACAAAATATATATATAAATAAATAAATAATGTGATCAGTGTGAAAATGGTAGGCACTCAATAAATATCAACCTCTCCTCTTGACCCATCCTGAAGTCCACCGGCCAGTCAGGAATGTAGACCCGACCGGAATGAATGTCTCTAGTGCAGTGCAGCATTCTCTGCTGC